GATTGAAACACCTGCTGTCTAAGTCTCTTATTTCCTTGAAGTCATACCGCTGATATTAAGGTTTTGCTCACTCATCCTGCTGCAGTTAAGGGATTGCGGAGAAGAGTGGGTGAGATCGCAGTTCGTAGCCCGAAATGGCGAAGATAACCTAACATTAAAACCTTAATTTTAACCGTAAAACCCAAACAAAAACACCAACCCTAACCCTAAAAACTAATCCTAAACTTAACCGTAAAATACAATTCTAAAACCTAACACTAAAATCCTAAACCCAACCCTAGTCCTAACCTTAACCCTAACCCTAAACCTCCGCCCTAGCCTTAATCCTAAGTCCTAACTCTAACCCTAGCCATAAACCTAACCCTGCGCTTAACCCTAAAGCTTTAACCCTAACCTTAAACCCCGTCCCTGACCTTAACCCTAACCACAATCCTAAAACCTAGCCCTAAAATTAACCCTAAAACCTAACCCTAAAGCCATAACCCTAACCCCAAAATCCTAACCCTAACCCAAAACCATAGCCCTAATCTTTACCCTTAAACCTAACGCGAACCTTGACCTTAAATCCCAACCCTAACCTTAGCCCTTAAACCTACCCTAACCCTAACACTTAAACCTAACCCTAAAACCCTAATTCCAAAACGCAAACCCTAACCCTAAAACTTGATCCTAAACCTAAGCCTAACCCTCACTAAGCCCAACAACCTGACGAAAACAGGCGAACTGCCTAACTCGGTAGAAACACACCTACTGCTTACACGTTTCCTCGGTAAGGGTCAGATCGTCGACAGTATCAACTCATAATGCCTGGCTACGAACTGCGATCTTACCGAAGAGTGCTTTGAATTCGTCAGCAGATTAAATGACTCCAGTCCAACCTCAAACCAGAATGCACCTGACAGTGGATGGATGCAAATTACCAGCTTATCGGTTGCGTTTGGGTGCTCTGGCGAGCTAACTGCTGCGGTGACGTTCATTGGCTGTGCGACCAGATCGATGAGTCGCTTCCGTCTTGATTTGCAAGGCAAGCCTCGTGATTTTACGAGTCATCAGTTTATTCCAGATCGGCGCGGCGACAGCCCGAAGTGTGGCGATAATTCTAAGAGTGAAGTATTCACCAAACAGCGTGAGAGCGGCTAGAGTTTCGATAGTGATTTATATTCGAAATCGGAAGTGGGGAAACTCGTGAACCCACATACTGCATGTTAAATGAAGCGTTAACAGGCAGCTCCCTACCGTGTTTCAAAATGTCTGCTGAGTAATTCGTGCGGTCGGCCGAATTGTGAACCACTTGAGAGTCTAGAGCCCCCCACCCCATAACCTGTCGGGCAACTTAAGTGTTATTTGAGGGTTTCGGACCACCTATAACCATTTGGAGAGGGGGAAATTATTCAATTTTAAGTTATTATTAATATCGCAGCCATGTAGACATCCGTTTATGGGAGCAAGAGTTCCAAGATTCTGCCCGCTTTCAGTTCAGTTCAAGGGCTGAGTTCAGTATCACATTGCTCCTGCCCATTTCGAAACATAAATCTGTCAAGTCTCCTTTGAAAACTTTTCATTGATGGTGAGATCACAACACTTACAGGGAGGAATTTCTATGATTTAACCACTCTGGCATAGAAGGAGAACTTGCGTACATTCAGCGTTGGCTGCTGAATGCACAGTTTCAATGGGTGACCTCGGAGGTTGATCGTGGTAGCAGATTCAAACACCAAGCTGCAATCTCCCAGCATCTGCCTCTAACTCGAAGGAAAGAGATTTGTTTCCGATAGTCGGGTTGCGTAAGACAAGACGTTTTGACCCTTGGTAGAGGGACGCTCACCGATCGTTCTTACGGAACTCACTCGTCCCATTGTGCCTTACGGGCTCTCTCTTAAGCTCAGCCAGCAGCCGCACAGCGGGGCATGATATAGACAGTATGTTATTACCGACAAAGACAAGGGAGACTGGAGTGGCCACTTCTGGCTTCTTAACCGTCGTCGGCCAGTCATACTCAACGCCGAAGTGTGGAACACCTGGGACTCGAACTCTCGACCTGTGAGTTAGAAGTTCAACGTCTCTAACCACTGAGCCACGGGTTCGTTGTCCTGTAGGTTTCAATCGGGAATATACAGTGGTGGAGGGCGATCACCGACCGTTCTTACGGAACTCACTCGTTCCGTTGTGCTTTACGAGCTCTCTCTTGAGCCCAAACAGCAGCCGTACAGCGGCGCATGATACAGGCAGAATGCTTTGACCCTTGGCCATTACGGTGGCACTTTTTGGACTCTTCTGAGGCTATTTTGATCTTGGACGGCCTATGGTCTCCAAGTTTATACGTCGTATTGCAACTGCGGCCTCACAAACGTTCTGAAAATTTTGAAGAGGAAGTCTTCATAAAAATACAACACGGACATTACGCTTTCCCTAGTGCCGAATAGCGAGCGGGTGGTTTTAAGGGGTTCTTCAACACACTGAGGTCGTTTTGGACTTCTACGTGTTGTAATGCTGCGCGTCGAGAAAGTAGTTTCTTGTGCTGGTGAATCTGACTGGGTCGCTTAGGCGAAGTATGGTACACTTATTGACGTTGGAAAGCTTCTTCTTTCTTCTCCTGAAAAGTCATCTTTAGCTCGGCTTTTCAATTTCCAGAGAACGAACTGCGTGAACTTTGCACAAATTCTTCGACACGGACCTTCTCGGGTTTGGTGCTAAAGTTGATATAAATGTTCGAGGTAAAATCCATCAACCTCAGCGGAATAATCACGTAATATTCATATTCTGTCAGTAGCATGCTAATTAAAGCGAATACTCGTATCTGAAGTAATGGTAAACGATCCATCTTCTTTTGTCCCAACACAAATATGTGAGTTGTAACTTTGACTGCGTGAAGGGACCAACTCGTTGGGGCCGGTATTGAGCGGATTTCAGGCGAAAACCGGCTGTGACAGCTAACGGCGAACAAGTATGGGTTCGAGTGGCCTGAACCATGGCGATTACTTCGCAAACCACGCAACCAACTCCTCCTCTTCCCCTGCTTCTACCAACCCTCCTACCCTTCTCATCCTTCTTTTCCTGCCCCTACTTCCCCCTTACCCCTGTTCGTCCAATTACCACTTCGACTGCTCTGTCTCTCTCTCCCCTGCAAGTAATTAAAGGGGTTAATGTCAATTGTAAAGAAATATGCTCTAGTTGCCATCAATGCCTTTATTCGCTCGGGTTTCTGTCAGTGTAAAGCAGTTCAGTTTTGCCCGCTAGACTTTCGACTTACCAGCAATTGTTTCTCTCGTGCAGCCGGTGTGATTAAATCCCCATCCTACGATAAGACTCCGCTACTTTCCTCTCAGCTGTGTGCTGCACAGCAAGGCGATGCACTCGGGGTCTCAAGGTCAGATTTATTTTGGCATCATCATCGGCAACTGGATGCGCAAGCTCGGCAAACGTTCCAGCTGCGTGGGCGGGAACGCCAGCCTCCAGAACGGGCTGTTGTTCTCTTACTTCATTTACTGCAAAAGCCTGCGTGCGGTCCACGCAAGGTCTGGGGAATGTATTATTCCAAGACACCACCACCACCACCACCACCACCACCACCACCACCACCACCACCACCACCACCACCACTATTACCGATACTGAGAGTTCGACCGTCGTTTCCGACGGTGTTCACCGTGTGTCCCACAGCAAGGTGGGCAGGGACGGTAACTAGCGCGTGAATTAGTTTGTAGTGATATCAGACTTACGCAGCATCTGCCGCACTCTCTCCTCCTCCCCCACCTGAACCCGGTGTCAGGAGAGAGTCAAGAAGACCAGAGGAGGGAGAAGGGTGCAGGTGGATGGCACGGTCGAGCCCGAACCTTGACACTCCACTTCACACCCCCTGGTCCAAACAGCAAATGATCAGGTCTTTGCCCAATAAGAACAACGGAGAAGGGTAGCAGGGATCCCAGTGTGCCCGATGTACGTCAGAAACCGGGTCTGCCACAGCGCCCCCGGAGTGTTGGCATTTGCTATAGTGCGCAATCCGATAACGCCTGCCAGGATCCCGGATATTACAATAAAACTCCGCTATTTTCCTTGGAGATGTGCGCTGCACAGCAAGGCAATGCTCCATCATCGGCTACTGAGTGCGCAAACCCGGCAACCGTTTAAGTTGGTTTTCGAGCGTAGGCGGGAGCAAATGATGCTGCCGCCTACATTCGCTGCACACACCCTCCATAACAGACTGTCTCTATGTTGTGCCGGATGGTCTAATTCCATTTAGTGCAAAAATCTGCCTGCTGAGGTAATGGTTTTTCTTCACAAGCGGGACGCACTAATGGGAGCACAAAGTCTACTAGTAATTTTGCCAGCATCGTTCTGACGCATCCTTTAGACCATATTTCTTCGTCACCCGAAGTCCAAATTGACTTCTCTCCTACATACTATTTTTAAACGCCTGAATTCTTTATACCGCATCATCGCTTACCAGTGATGGTTGTGCGGGGGCGTGACGAAGTAGGCTTGATATCACTCAGGAGTAACCGGTCTGGTCTGCCGGACTGTCTGTGGGTGTCGTGCCACTATAACTACTGCTGAGTTTCTCTGCACATCTGAGAGAACGTTGAAATAAAAAAACAGGGCGAGAAAGGACTTCATGTGCCGTCATGATCCGGGTGGCCATCAGAAAGAGTAAAGCTGCCAAGAGAGGGTCTGACCCGGGTGTCAAGGTACTCTGAACTTCAGACGGAAGATAGGTCGCAGGCTTCGCCTAACTGCCTTCTTTATTGGGAGGATGTTAGCGTTGCGAGGGGTCACTCAATCATGGAATGAGGAAGAGAGACAATAGCAAGTTACCCAATCACAACCCAGGGAGAGGGATTCCAGCGGACAGGCTTTGTGGTGGCAGAGAGCGCACAACCGGCCAGTGACAATGGTAAAGCGCGAAACCACTTCCGCTCCGTAGGATGTCAGTGATATGGAGGAACAGGAATGTCACTACTGATCTGCGGGCAGTGTCGAGACCCCAACACTGTGAGCCATCAATGGTACGTACGGCGCATGCTACTACTACTACTACTGTTAATACTACTAGTACTACTACTGCTAATACTACTAGTACTACTACTGCTACTGCTACTATTACTACTGCTGCTACTACTATTACCACTACTGCTACTACTACTACTGCTACTGCTACTATTACTACTACTACTGCTACTAATACTGCTACTATTACTACTGCTACTATTACTACTGCTGCTACTACTAATACTACTACTACTACTGCTGCTACTGCTACTATTACTACTGCTACTACTACTACTGCTGCCGCTACTACTACTGCTGCTGCTACTACTACTGCTACTATTACTACTGCTGCTACTACTATTACTACTGCTGCTACTACTACTGCTGCTACTACTACTACTGCTGCTGCTGCTGCTACTACTGCTGCTACTGCTACTATTACTACTACTGCTGCTACTACTACTACTACTGCTGCTGCTACTACTATTGCTGCTGCTACTACTACTGCTACTATTACTACTACTGCTGCTACTGCTACTATTACTACTGCTACTACTACTGCTGCTGCTACTACTACTACTACTACTACTACTACTACTACTACTACTACTACTACTACCAGCGACGATGTCACAGTCGATGAGTATCTTCCAGACCTGTCAGCGGGTGGAGTGCCACTGATTCTGACTGGAAGTCCTATAAAACGAGGTTCTAAGCCCACAATTACCAGAGATCATAACTGAGGTCACAGACTAACTGGAATAGGGCAAACCTCGCTTAGCATACCGCTGAGAGCTTTCAGTTGTTGTACGCATTTCCTCCTTTCTGTCACTTAAGACCAGATGGACGTGGCAGCCACATTTCGGGTACATAAAACACGCGACAACTCCCCTAAGAGAGGATGACAAAACATACGCCTGGTCCGGCGATCTGCGTGACATAAGGTTGCGGACTTCCTCATGAACAATGCGAATGTGATAGTTCGACTGTCGTGTCCGACGGTGTCCACCGTGTGCTCCGCAGCAAGGTAAAGCAGGCACGGTGACTTGTGTGTGAATTAATTTATAGTGAGAGTAGACTTGTGCATCATCTACCGCACTCTCCTCCTACTGCCCACCTGGACCCCGTGTCAAGACATAGTCAAGAAGACCAGAGGTGACTGGTACGGCCGGATCCGCCGGCATGCCACCATACCCCCTGGTCCACAACAAACACTTAACTAGGATAACTACCAACAACACCACAACGGGTCAGAAAAATGAGGATAACTGGGCAGCCATGCTCACGACCCGTATACCCAGCGGGAGCGAAAGCGCACCTATCGCCAGGGAACCAGGTGTCGTAAAACTCCCAGCGCGCACGGGGCTGCGAAGGCCGTGGTTTGCCGATCCTGACCTAGTAGACGCTTACAATCCTTGAGGTTCACAATACGAATATACCAGTAGAAACATGTGATGGCTGGCGGTAGAAACTGTCAGTTAATACGTCTCATCAGCCAAACCACTCCTTAAATTCTCGGCCTAATCAGAGTAGGGTAAAATTTACATCACAGGACTCGGAGGCATGCGCCGATATTAAGTCCCTAATTCTGCTTTCAGAGAAGATTTACGTCGAGTTGGGGGTGCGACACCGACTCACACATGTAAGCTGACATGTTGGTTTCCGGTTGAGGATCTCAGGGCTCAGCACAACAGCTTCAGGCAAGAAGGCACGATATAAGCAGCAGATCCCATTGTTTTTGTTTGTGAAGATTAGTTAGGCTGGCTGGAATGGACTGTTTCAAAGAGGGACCTCTTCAGCGTAAAAAGCATAGCGGTTGAAAAACCGCACTGTTGGGACTTCTAAGACACGAGAATATCGGTTGACTAGGGTGTATGCCAGTATATTATACGTTCCAGAACAGACTTCCAATAGGTGCTAGTGTAGAGATGAACAAAAAATAATCATGAGATCTGTTGGCAGACAAGATGAGAGGAGCGATTCGTAGTTGGTGTCGAGAGTAAACCATATTCCAAAGATGAGGACTAAAACCGAGCCATAGCCGGAGCGGTCAGCTGTACTCTGCAAAAAAAGCTCATCTAGAATGGCTGTCCTCCACTGTCCAGAGACCTCTTTCGCTATACCTACTAATGCCTTTATCTTGACGCCAACAATATTGCTAGCAGTGTCCGGATTTGAGATGGGCGTCCTAAGCGATTTTAGTTCAAAGAAGACGCAATAAATTTCCCAGCAGATGATGTCGGAAAGCAGGAAGAATGAGTTCTGTGGGAGTTTCCCTACTGACGGCCGGATTTTTTCTGGGACAGGGCGATTGACGAAGTCAGAGGACAAAACGTCAATTTACCACTTCAGCAGTATATATATGCCATCCGCTTCCGTTAAGTAGGAAATTCACAAAAAACTGCGTTGATGGACCTTATGTTGGGTTGAGGCTACAATGGATTCGTAAACAAGAAAGAATTTCGGCCCAAAATCTGTCAAAAACACCACCTTAGTGGAGTAAGAATAACTGAGGGTTCGGCAACTCGAACCAGCACGGACTGAGGCAGGAAACACTTCAATGAAACAATCAGGGTCGTAGTTGTCCCAAGCTTGAATGCTTATGTTTGGTGTAGCTTGTGCGAATTCTCTCGTTTAAGCAAGAAGCGTACAACTATATCTCAAACGTAGGACAGTCGGAAGACTTGCCCGTGAATTCACTGGCGGTGGCCGACTGTGCGGACTTCATAGTACTGACCGGCACAAAACTCCATAAAGTTTTATGACTAAACAGACCGCTAAATCCTCCATCAGTCCACGAGGTGGTGACAAGAGGATGTGCCTAATGCCTCACGGTCAACATACCACTAGGCTGCAGTCAGATTACGTGACGGTTTCGACGGTAGTCGACTTGCCAAGACCCAAACTCCTGCATCAAACAGCCATTGTCGCTGATGGCCCAATACTACACGTTGGCGGGATTCCGGTTATTAATTAAAGGACGGCATTCGTTGAAAGTAGTTCTACCACTCGATTAAAATAAGCGCACCACCCGGTCAGGAGATAAGCTCGCCTCTACGGAGTACCCATCGACTAAAAGATACTCGGATGCTGAGGGGACACAGTGGAAATTTTGCCTAATAAAACAAACAATGGCGACCGAGGCGGGTGCAAGTCACAGGGCGTGGGCTTTCTGATCCACAATGCTGAGTTTACCTGAGTTTTGGAGATAGCCAATGTAAGTAGCAGCAGCAAAGTAATAATGGTCCGATGTGTCGAAAGAAGCATGCCGTGATGAATGAAAGGCCATAAAGAAGCAGTGGCGTGCTTAGGAGTATAACATGTTAGTTACAAGGAGCTTGGAACGATGGTGATCTGTGTACAAAAGTCAGAAGGACACTGAATATATCACAGTGCTAATCTGAATAGAGCTGCGGGCTGGTAGGGGCCTGCCCACACAATGGAGTCCACAAGGATCGATCGGTGTTTAGAACACACAAACATGGTAATGTCTCATGGGTGGAAGCAGCGAAAGGCGCGACAGTAAAGTAGTCATCCAGATTCAAAAAAGTAAGAGCGATTAAGTAAATCAGCCACGCTTTAGTCGATTAAGACGTTCTTCTAGGTCGTTTTCGTCATTGGTTGAAGGGCCGTCGGGACCACCGGTGGCAGGTACCGGCTGGTTAGTTGCCCGAACACCCGAAGCCGGCGCACCGATTGAATCAGGGCTGGTGGGCAATCGGTTGACTGCTCCAGCCATTTCTAGACCGAGTTCGTCTAAAATCTATAAAGGAAGAGGACATGAGAGCTGGTTGTCTTGACATCACAATACCTTCTGTAAAATGGTCGACATGGGTTTACCACTCCAACTAATTCACCAGAAGCTACGAGAAATACAGTCACCAACCGCTAAATTAATGATGAAAACAGTGGCCCCAGGATACACTTGGCACGTGAGCCTGAGAAGACTACATTCGAGTCACCAGCATCCTGTGTTCACACTAAATACACGTCCAGATGTTGGACGTAGGGCGGATCTACCCTACTGAAACACACGTAAATAATATTTGATAATTTTTTGAGTCGGAAAGAAGTTGATATAAAGCTCGGCGCACGACAAGCATCAACCAGAATGAACGAATAAAAGCAACCAAACTGAGAACTAATTGGGGTGGATAGGATATCAAGGGGCCAACAAGAAATACGCCGCAGACAAGGCAGTGAAAACCGAAGGAATCTAATACGGTTACCTGTCGAACAACTGCGTCAGAGGCTTCAGCATCGCCCTCCTCTTCAAACACATCATCCATCGCATCAGAAATCATCTCCTCTTTCATCTCCATCATTCCGGACTGTTTCTCGAACTCCATTAATATCTTTTGGAGTTCGGGCAAATTCATTTGCTTATTCATCCTCACTAGTGTACGAGTTGTCTGTTTCATGGCATCAGCCATGGCGGCAGTTGATTTCAGTGTTTGCATATTTAGCGAGACGGCCTAAGCACTGGTGAGAAATCAACACTCGTACTTGTATATTAGCGCGTGTCATCATTATCTTTTTTGAATATGTCCGAGTTCTTACGAGATTCTTCGCCATAATTTTTACTGCATCAGTCTGGCCTTGTTTTGCGAGCTTTTTAATCTCGTTAATCACCTTGACTTGCTCGTTGTCGAGACGTTGGCTTTCGCGGTCCAACTCCCTTATCACTCTATTTAGTGCTCGTGTATTCTCCCTCAGCTGCTCTTGTGGTGTTTTCTTTTTGCCGAATAGAGCTTTCATCTTGCGGAAATAAAAAGACAAGCGATGCACAACGAGACCGTCCGACGCGCCTTTATAAGCGACCGAATCAAGGTCCAGGTCAGCATATTTAAAGAGGACAAACTAGAATTCCTATACGTCCTCCAAGAAAGGTGCCTCTTTATTTTGAAATTGCGAGTTTTATTAACAACTCGTGGACCGATAACAGTACACCTCTGACATTATAGGTAGTCGAAAAGTCGAGGAGAAGTAGACGCGGTAACTGGAACAAAGGCTTTATCTGCCGTCAAATCCAAATTCATTCTCGAGCCCATAATCAGATACGTAACTCGTAATCAAAGGACATCTTAAAAGTGTGAAGCAATGGACGGGACGCCAACTACGGCAAAAGGCTACCGAGTATACCGTCGCAAACAGCGGAAGCAAAGACGGGTGTTGCAGATTGAGCATACTGGGCGAAAGACCGAAAAACGAACATTGTACGCAAAATAAGAACGAAAATTAAGCTGCACCTGAAAGATTTTATTAGAATATGAACTGTTCACCAAGCACGTCTAGAAGAACCCTCAGGTTTGTAGCTGCAGGGTGGCCAGAGCAAGTGCTCTGACCGCTACAACCACTAGATCAACCCTCATGTAGGAATGAACCAGCATGAGGGGTTTAATGTATGCATAATCCGGAGTTGTTCTCTCAGGGCTGGTGTTGACTGCGTCCAGTCATGGCTAAGAGTCCCTAGAACAGTGGTGGACGCCGCTTTTTTAGGCTCGTGGACCAAGCTCAAGTGGTGTCCAGTCATCGTGTATTGCATTTGCCGAGGGATGATGTCCCAGTGGCTTAGGTTGAGATTGCAGGAGGGCGGCGCGTTCAAGTAGCCTCATGGGCAGCTGCAGCTGTGCGGACACAGGTATGTCCCAGCTGTTGGTTGTGTGACTTCAGGTCAGTGCGTCTGGGACGGCTCACTGCAAAGGGTGGATGACGCTGAGGCAGCGAGGTCTTGAAAAATGACGCCAGACCTGTTGTTATGGCTGCTCACTGCAGGCTAAAATGGACGTTCTTAACAGAAAACTCAGAGTGCATGACAGCCTCTGGGTCGTTAGCATTGACTAAACTAAGCTAGTTGACTCTGCTCACGGTTAATTACCTGCGGAAATCTCCAGCCGCATGTTAAAGCAAAGAATCTGGTAAATGCAATTTCATGCATGATTCATAGATGGTTCTAATTTGTGTATGACTCAAACGAGTAGGTACGGACCATATCCCAAACTCTCTTATTAAACAGCTAAGATATTTTCCTCCTCTGCTTAGCAAAATCTTTTCAATATTTCTCGTAAATGGATTCGTTCCTGACTATTGGAAAACTTCTATTATTATTCCAGTATTTAAGTCTGGCTGTCGTTCTGACGTTCGAAACAATCGAGGTGTCCATAAAACACTCTCTCTTGCTAAAATCTTTGAAAAAAATTATCGCCTGGAAAATTACCAACTTTTGCATAGCCAATCAAGTTATTAACCCTTCCCAGCATGGTTTTTTTACCAGATCGCTCTTGTGAAACATGTCATCTGTCGTTTCTCAATCTACTTACTTCTCTTCGAAATGACCATCTATCTGTTATCGTTATTTATTTTGATCTTAGTAAAGCCTTTGATAAAGTACCACATAAGAGACTCTTGGTTAAATTATAACCTCTGGGAATTCGTACTTTCCTAATAGAATATCAAGTCATACCTGTCTAATCGTAAACAAAAGGCTTTAGTGGGATCTTCACCCTATTTTAACTGGTCTCCTACGAGGCCCCGTTTTAGGTCCTCTTTTGTTCCTGCTTTACACAAATGTTATCTCGGTGGCCGTTAAATATTCTCAACCATTTATTTATGCCAATGATCTCAAATGTGTATATTCTTTCAAAAAATCTACGAGCCTTCACTGCCTGGAGCAAATCCATGCTGACTTGCTTGCTCTCTCAGCTTGAGGCACACAATGGCTAATGGAATTCTCTCCGTCTACATGTCGCTAGATGTGTTTTGGACCTGATAGGCTACCCCAACCAGTGGTCTTATAGAGGGCGTACTGACCTTGTTGTTTTAATGTGTCCTTGCTATGATCTCCCTGTACGTTTTGACTGATTGGAGTTCCGAACGTGCTTTGTTTTAGTGACCGCCGTCAAAGAGCGTGACGGGGTCCGTCGAGAGACCGCCCGTAAAGAGGAAGACGACGAGAAGACGGAACGGGATTAACTTTCCTCTGCTGATATATTTCTTTTAATAAGCTTTTTCCACCGCCGACCTATTCTATCTGTGCCCGCTTGCCCTTACAGATGATGGACTCAGCTCACTCTAATTCCCAGGGTTCCCGCCGAGGAGACACTCGATCGGATAAGGGCACCAAGGAAGCCGGTACGGACTGTCGCCTAGAAGGAGAAGAAGACAAGACCATAGCCTTGGGTGGATCGAGTATTACAATGGTGGCAGCGACTGCGGCGAACCCAACCGCCTCTTCCTCGTCGTCGACGACTGTCCCCTACTCCATTCCAACTTCCTTTCGACCCATTTGATGGACGGACCGACTTTCGCAGCTGCTTACGGCGCTTCCGCTTCCACACGAACGAGGTGCCACAGGACCAACGCTCCTGATTAATTTTTAAATATTTGGGAGACGACCAACTGGACAAGGCCCTTGACGCCGGGCTGTCAGTCTCAACACCCTTTGACACCTTGTGCGACGAACTTCAGAGACTGTCCCAGCCTCGACTGGCGATTTAGGACGCGATCCACCGCCTGATTTACCGTCGTCGTCGGTTCAGAGAAACTCCCGAGCAGTTCGCGGCGGGTCTAACGCGGTTCGCCTCCGATGCTTACCCGTCACTCTCGGCAGCCGATAAAGACCAGGTCGTCCTTTATCATTTCAAATGCGGCCTGGACTCAGATGAGGTGGCGTATTCATTACGTCTGAACCCCCCAGGTGATCTCGGGAGTGCCATACAGAGAGCCAATCGGTTGTTAGAGCCGATCCCCCCAGGACCTAGATATCATGGCCCTCCTGGAAGCTTATACTTTTCCCCTAGCTACCGCCGACCTGGGCAAGGCCCCAACCCACGCGGTTTTTCTAAGGCAGGCAACAACACGACGTTTCAGTCTCGTAGGGCCTTGGGAATCGTCCGCCATATGCGACAGCAGCACACCGTTCGGATGAAGCTGATTTCGGTACCCTGTCTGTCCCTATATGCTCTTCAAAGTCACCTAATACATTACCATTCTTTACTTTAGTGCATGTTGACAACCGCCCTGTTAGGGCCCTAGTTGATACTGGAGCTACAGTTTCCTTAGTCCGATCTGATATACTTTCGCCTGTTCGCATTGATAGTATTTTTAAACCCAAAAGACTACCTAGCCTGCTGACGGCAAACGGAGAGCGGATGTCCACAATCGGTCTAATTAATTTGCCGTTAGTGTTCCCTACTAGCACTAAAGAACACACATTTGTTGTTAGCCCAAACGTTACGTGGGATATTTTACTAGGTGTCGATTTTCTTATCCAGTTTAATTGTCATCTGGATATTCTTGAGCGCGTCCTTCGTTTCGGATCTGAGCCGACACCACCCTACCACGCAAATTTGGTGTCCCAGGAAGACGAAATCTGTGCTGCGATTTCCGCGGCGGTCGCACTACCACTTCTAACCTAGACAGCATCTTACTGGCGGATGCTGAGCTCGACAAACAAGACCGCAATGATCTGAAATCCCTGCTGGCAGACTTTGAGGATGTTTTAGCGTGGGATGAACGCTCGTTGGGGCGTACAACACTCGTAAGACACACTATCGGCACCGGCTCCGCAAAACCCGTTTGGCAGCCCCCACGACGTATTCCGCCATATTTTCAGATGGAGGTGAACGAAATGATACAGATGAAGCTTGTGTAGTGACATTTACGTCTGTTTTGTTTTAATCAGTCACAATACGCTTTGACACAACTTTGAATAAGACAAAGAACACGCACGTGCACTTTTAACTGCCGACGACTTTGTTCTTATTTACTAGTTTGTAACTGTTGGGATACTGCTATTTTCGTTTCCTGGATAGCCTACTCGCTGTGCCCAACTAGTGGGTTTGTCTCTTATACTGGTGACCCTATATCGTTCATAGCTCCTTCTGTTTAATCTCTGTGCCTAACTATTCCCATTCGGATTAATCCTCCCTCTAATTTTTATCGATCAGATTATTCATCTAGCCCTTATTTGCTATCCACACTGTCTCACCCTTTTATCCAATATGAGCGCTACCCTTCAGTCTCACTGTCAACGCGCCAGTCCTCTACCCCATTTATCTGACCTCTGACCGACCCCGGCTAATTATGTCCAGCGATTCTAGCAGCCAGCCGATAGCCGGCATTCACACTTTTGACCTGCCATCCGTGTGGCTCGGTGACATCGCGTTATGGCTGCGCACTGTAGAGTCACGATTCGCCCTCCGTCAGATCACACGAGAGGATACGAAATTCCACTATGTTGTGGCAGCACTCCCAATGGACATCGCCACCGACCTCCGCGACATCATAGATTGCCCGCCCACAGAAGCCCCTTATACTGCCCTAAAGGAGGCTCTCATTTCCCGCATTTCCCTCTCAACGCAAAAACGTCTCCAACGCT